GTTTCGCGAGGGAGTCGCCGAGCTCCCCGGCCATATTTCTGATGGCCTTCGTAGTTCTGAATAATAGCACATAAATCTGGGATCAATCAGGCCAGGGGTTCGAGTGCTCTGACGCGCTATTTTAATGAGAGCGATTTATGCCCATGCTTAACCCTTCCGTCAAAATCAGCAACCTGAAAGTGTTCTGTGTTGGCTGTCCATTTTTAAAAAAATGCATTGATGGGCGAAGTCCACGTATTTCTGGGGATGTCTTAGTAGCCCGGTGTCCCGCTTGCCTTAAATCAGTGTCTGAGGGCCAACAGGGATGCTGACAACGCAATGGTGGTCTCGTTGTTTTGATTAAACGGGGGGGGGGAGGCAACTGGTTCAACCGCCCCCCCCCCAGTTGTGAATCTGCAACAGCCCCTTCGATCTGCTGCTAGCAAGATTATTTAACCCTATCAGTGATGGATTAAGCAAGTGCTTCCAAAGGAAGGTGATGAGCTGTAGGCAAAAACCTCCCCCAGTCATCACGGGCACTTTTTCCCCACCTCCCTCATGCTGCGTGGGGTGTGGCTGTGAGTTTTGCTGGCTATTTTAACTTTTTAAAAAAGCTACGATTGCTAATTATGTCATTAGCGTCACATGCAGTTAGTTAGGCCCTGATGAGATGCAGGCCTAGCAGAGCTGGTGCTCTCGGCACCGAAGGTGCTCCAAGATGCTCACTCGCTTCTGCACGATGCTCGAAAGAGAGCGACGCAGCTCAGGCTTGGGCAAACCCACGGCACAGATATTCCATGGGTCGGAACAGCAGGTTTAGCAGAAGTCATTCTAAAAAGTGCTACAGACGCAGATCAGCACATACAAACAATAGCAAGTACCTAACCATTGTTCTATATTTCTATATTTTTGTGATCTATATGTGAGCTATCTTTTTTTAGCCTCTGTGCCTATTCTAGGAACCCCATTAAGGTCAAGCCGATCTCCAGGAAGACCTTAAAAGAAAAGTGAGCCACCAAATTCCTGGGCCAGGGCACTCATGCGGACAACTGCCACAGCTTCTCAAAAAGTGTTATGAAATGCAACTGGTGCTGGGGAGATGGAAAGGGGGTCTCTGATTGCATTCAGGGGGCTCTCTATGAAGCTTATCGGCTGTTCTGCCAAATTTTGGTCTGCTAAATGAGTCTTGGGAGATTCACAGACACACAAACCACTTCCTAAAGGACTTTGCAGGGTGGGGGCAGAGAAGCCTGGGAGAGAAGGAAGGGAAGAATCTGTGGGGGGGGGGGGTCAGTTTAGTCTGGTTCCATAGCCACCTGGCTGGGATATTTCAATATGGTCCTTAAAACATTTGCCCCTAAATAAACATCTCAGTTATCCCATGGCAGAGCAACTGAATTCTCTCTGACTACTCCTTGAAAGCAAGGCAAGCAAAGTGCATGTGTGATTAGCCATGGCGGAAACTTGTCCTCACATGGAAGATAAAGTGCTGCCTATTTCTGCATCTTCCTTTGACTGAACCTCACTGCCATCCCGGCCCGGCCCGCGAGTTCAGCTGCCTGGAAGATTAAATGCAGCCGACTCCTCCACTGGAAGACCAGCCCGGCCAGCTAAAGGGGAGCAGCAACCCTGTCAGCTCATGCCGGGCTGCAGTTTAAAATAGTTCAGCCTCTCCATCCCTAGGATAAACTGCCATCTGAAGAATAAAATGTCAATATCAAAAGCAGGAAATAGAAGGAAAAGGTGTCTGTGTGTGTGGAATTTATCCCTTGTTGCTGGAGTGAAGCAGGGCTCATTGCAATACCAGGCGCTGTTCACAAGCCCAGGATCTGGACCTTGGAGAACTACTTCCACGTAACCCAGAAAGCAAATTCCCAGGGAAGAGGTCCCCATATTCATCTGAAAAATCACAGCTCCCCCCCCGCCCCCCCCCCCCCCAGCCATGCTTTGGGCGCCCCTTTTTCTCATCCCTGTTTTCACTTTAAGGCAGAGACCTGGATCCAAGCCCTTCTCTCCCACCCCTCAAAGTCAGGGGTTGTCCTCATGCACGCACAGCTCAGCTCTACAGAACGTCTGAACCCTGCCGGGCACGCGGGTTTCCACTGGGGGTGTGAAGCCACTTGGAAATCTTCCATGCAGCCAGGGGCGCCCCCATTGGCCCTTTCGCGCTTGTTGCACTCGGCCCATGGAAATGCTTGTGTGAACTGGCCATGGAGTTCTGCGTCAAATACAGAGTCACCTACATTCAGAAATGTAATCGATATATTCCAATGATACGTTGCTACCTTTAAGACTGCATTTTCACCCTTGGGTGAGTATACTGTGAATGCTCATCCAAAAGGGTTATCAACATTATTACAGACGGGGAAAACCAAGGCTTAATTCCTGTAACAATCTGGCTTTCCTCCACCTAGATCATTAGCTGCTGACTAGCATAAAATGTTTGTTATCTTGGCACCTCAAAAGAAAGGAAGGATGAAATCCCGTGCACATTTAGACAGAGAAAACATCTGACAATTCCCAGAATTCCCCGGGCTTGCTGACTGGGGAATGCTGGGAGTTGTAGGACTCCCACCCCCACAAGCATGCATAGGATTGTGTGCAAGCAAAATAAGGTAGTAAGTGTTGGCTACAGCATCCTGCGTGTTGATACCGAAAATATTTACAAGCTCTCCAGCTTCCATGCGAACGTCTGTTGATTCAGCCAGTCTGTTCAAAAGTATCAACATTACGTCGTCTTCACCCATAATATCATGTTTGGATGGGAAGCAAAGGTGCAGAATACCAAGAGGCCTGCTGAAGGCATGCGCAGAATCCTGTGGCCACTGTTGCCACTCAGGGCTCACTCAAGGAGCAAAGAGTAAAGCGAAGGATGAACTAAAGTTCGGCAACCCAAACAGGCCAGCTGAGCTCCTAATCGGACTGCAAGGCCTTGCTCTCACAGAAGTGGAGAAAAGTGCCTTCGGATCACACTCCACCAAGGGAGGCCAAGGGCGAGCTGGCGCATCAGCCACAGTTCTCCTACCTGTGCAAGCGCACGTGGAATGCTCTTCTCCCAAAGTGGTCTTTGGGTAGTGTATGAAATCTCACTGTGGGCTGCGACAGACATTTAATGAATGAAAAACTATGACTTGGGACACTCAGGATACCCCGGGACATGCAGACTTCTATAGAGTTAAATGAATATAAATTGTCAGGGCGATACATAACCAATGCATCTCAGAATTGCCGGTCTCTGGAGGGAACAGTCCAGGTGAGCACTGATCCTGAGAAAAAGCTGGGAAGAAATATCCCTGGTGTGGGTAGTTCTCCAGCCCAACCCACATGAGAGACTGGCCGGAGAAATTCCACCTCGTTTTTCTGGGCCCGTGGAGGAAGCTTTCCCAGTGGATCCAATTCCGAGCGAGCGAGGCTTATGTGATGCCAAAAGGCTTTTGGGCCCCCTCGGCATGCGTAGCGCATGCAAAGGTGCCCATGGTGCTGAGCACAAGCCACATCTAAACACACAAACCGGAAGTACATTAACATGACACCTGGTTAATCAAAGGAGCGTTCTGGCTAAAGCTTGTGTGTGACCAGGCCGGCACGGAAATGCCATTGTTACGCCATGTCTGAATACATGCAGAACTGCTCACAATTCAGCTACATGGCACAACAAAGCCACCAGGTGTTAACAACATTTAAGCGTCGGAAGGAAAGGCTCAATTAATTCTTAAACTTTTCAAGGGAAGGTTTCACCTTGCTTTAAATTATAATAGGAAAAAGACACAAATACCAAGAATACTTTGAGCCTTCGTAGGCCTGTTAATTTCTGTTAAATTCCTCTAGCAAGTGCGCATGGATTTTAGTCCTTCAGACCACGGTCCCACTGACTTGGGAGCAAGCCCCACTGAACTCAGTGGGCCTTACTTCTGAGTAGGCACAGCATTTTGCCCTCTGTTGTCTCACTGCTGTTTCCTGTAAAGCAGAACTGTATTTTTGCTTAATCAAAGGCATGTGCCCGTCAATGGCAGACATTTCCGCTGCCCTGGTGCTTGATGCTCATGGCGGAGCCGAGTCTGAAGCGCCAGGCCTGCTTATCCTTAATTTGCTTCAGAATACTGATCATAAATTTCACGGAATCGTTTCAAACGGTCGGTTTTAAATTGTTGTAAACCGCCCAGGGCCTATGCGACTGGGGGTTATAGAACAAGCAAAATAAAATTAAAAAACCTATTTTAAGAGAGAACTTCCCCTGCTCCAGAAGCAGTGATAGCCATAAGAAAAAAATAACATATATAGCCCTAATACAGATAATAATCCTGTGCATGATGTGAAAGCAAGGCCCATGCTGAGCAGACTCAAGGCAGGATGGCCCTGGCTTAGGCCAACCAAGACTACCAAAAAATGCAAACTTTTGAGAACTTTGGGTCTCTTTGGGTTTTGGCATTATCTTGCATTTGGGTTTTGGCATTATCTCTCTTGCATTATCCCCAGGCCTTAAACTATTTCCAAAACCACCCCTTCTTCTGGGGCCTGCGAAAAATACCTCCTGCGAGCTCCCGGCGGGACGGGTGGCGGGGAGGGCGAGGCGCGGGTGCGCGGCACGGGGCACCACGGGGAGGTGGGTCCCAGCGCCTCCGGCAGCGCAGCCCGCCCGGCCAGAAAGCGCGAGGGCGAGCCGGCGAGGACGCCCGCTTGCACGGAGCGGGTCCCCCGCGCGCGCAGGAGAACTTCCCGCGGGCCGGACGCGCGCGCGCGCGCCCCGGGCGCAGGCTGGCACCCGCGCTCGCCCGGGGCTTCAGCTGGCCCGCGGCAAGCTCGCGCGCGCCGGCGTCAGCCTCGCTCCAGCCGCCCGGGCCGCCGCGTCCACAAGCCACGCCGGCCGCCGCGCCGCCGCCGCCGCCCCACTTCCACGCCACTCCCCCGGAGAGGCTTCCAGACCCCCCCCCGGCGCAGCCCCGAAAGTCCCCGCAGCTCGCTCCCCTGCCCGGCTTGGGGCCCCCCCGCCCGACAGAGGACGCAGAGGGCCCCGCGCTCACCTTCCCGGGGCGCGCCTCCTTCGCTGCCGCTGCTGCCCCCGGACTGCTCCTGCGCCCGCTTGCCGCCCTCCCTCGCCTCCGGGCCGGGCTCTTTGGCTCCGTTCATGCCGGCGGCGACCTCCTCCAGGTCCAAGAGGTGGCTGACGCTGAAGTTTTTCCTCGCCTGGGGGTTGTCCGGAGGGTCCAAAATCCGCACCGGATTGGGGGCGAACTGCTTGTCCATGCCGTAAGCGGCCACCGTTTCCATCTCTCCCGAAGAATCCAGGGCTGGCCCCCCACCCCACCCCACCCCAGAGCGGTAAGACCCCCCCTCTCTCTTTCCCCGCCGTTGCGATCGGGAGAGCGCCGCTCCCCACTCCCCCAAAACTTTAGCGCGCCCCCTTTCTCCTTCGCCTGCGTCTTCCCAGGGGAGAACTCTACACATATATTCCTTGGGCAGCCTCGTGTTGACGTCTGAAGGGGAGCGAGAGAGAAACAGAGAGGGAGAGAGAGAGATTGTCCCAAAGTTTTTCTAGCTCGCCTCTTTTTCCGCCCACCGCGCTTTCCTAGCTCGCCAGTCGCTTGTGCAGAGTTTCCTACGCTGAAATGGACCGAGACTGGCCAATAGACAAAGATGTTCTGAAACTAAGCTTCCCCCCGCCGCCCCAGTGTTCTGAAACTGACCTGCGAACTCCCCACCCCC